CTGGACTCCCACATGGCTGACCACGGTTCAAGTCCCGGACCTAGCAGCTTGAAACTTACGCCAGGTGTGTGTGCGTGCGTGCCCAAAATCCAGAGAGGAGGATATGGAAGAGAAGGGATTGCAGCGTGGCCATCCCCCCCAGAGGGTGATTTCTCATTCTCTCTCTCTCTCTCTCTCCCCGGCAAGCACGCATGCCCTATAGCAAACAACTCTCCAAATATATAAAATGTATGTGGCAGAAATGAAGACTTCAGAACTCTGTTGATTATAGTTGCCTGCCCTTTTCATCCAGATAAACAGAAAGACAGACAGAGACAGAGACATCGAGTCCCCCACTTGGTTTAAAGACCAGTGAGCTTCCAGAGGGTGAAGGCCCAGCCTTGGGAATCCCTAGCATTTAGCGAAGAACGGAAGAGAAGGCACACAGCGCCCTCTCGTGGCCACATGAGGAATCGTTCCTTGCTGCTAGTTTTGAAAGCAAAAAATATATTATTCCACGTTCTTTCTGCCTCTCCCAGGCTCTGCGTGCTCCTCGCATTTCCCCGCGTGGTGATTTCTCGCTTTCTGTCTCTCTCGCTCGCCCTCTCTGTCTCTCTCTGGGAAGCACATGGGCCTGAGAACCAAAAAAATCTAAAAACACAAAGAGAACAGCCCTTCCCCTGTGTGTTGAATCAGACCACGGAGCACTCCGCACCAGCCAGCTCCTGGCCCTCCTGACTCCCTCGTCATGGAAGTAAGCCGAGACCAGCCCCATGAGAAAAGCCAAGGCTGTTTCCTCCCGACTCCTTGCAGCAAAGGAGCCGGTCCCCTCACCTGCACACGGTGGCAGGAACCAAAGGTGGCTTTGGACAGGACAAAGGAGAGCCAGGTGCGCTCCAGGAACTGCTAGGACAGGGAGACTGGGGGCTTCGTGCAGGATGGAGCGGGGTGCATATTTGGCTTTCTGTGGTTGGAAGCAGGGACAAAAAAGTCCAGAAATAACATGGATTGGAAATTATAGTAGTCCAGGTCATAAGTTCTGAGTCCAGATAATGTGTGTGCTTAGTTAGCACTTTATCTTTGTGCCTAGTGCAGTGCCTGAATCCTAACAGGTATTCAGTAAAATTATTATTTTTCTAAGAATTATTTTATTTATTAATTCTTTTTTTTTTTTTGTAGAGAGAGAGAGGGAAAGTGAGAAAGCAAGGTGCCGGGTCAAGGACTCAAACCACTGTCAACCACGTGGGAGTCCAGCTCTTTAACCACCACGGCACCTACCAGCCCCAAGCTGTCAGTTATTAATCAAACTCTGGCCTTTCGGTCTGGCTGCATAGAGCGTAACTGGCGATAACACTCCGGCCTCCTACATGACCAAGTTCCAGCAGGCTGGCTTCTTGGGCCACAGATTAGAAATGGGGGAGCTGGAACCAGCAGATGGGGTAACGGCTATGTCGCTGGACTCCCACGTAGTCAACTGCGGTTTGAGTCTCAGACCTGGTGGCTTAAACTCACACCGGGTGCGTGTGCATGCGTGCCCAAGATCCCGAGAGGATAATGGAGGAGAAGGGATTGCTGCGTGGCCATCCCCCCTGGGAGGTGATTTCTCACTTTCACTCTGTCTCCTATGAGCGCATGTGCCTATGGCAAAAACCTAAAAAAAAAAGAGAGAGAGAGAGAGAAAGAAAAAGGAGTTTGATTTCCTTGGGGGAAGGTTACTGTGGCGTGCAGGTCAAAGCTCTGTCCTTCCACATGGTGTGGTCATTGTCTGTGGGCGCACCCAGTCTCTCACTCTGGAAGGAGTCTGTGTAGACATATTTAATGGGTGCTCACCTCTTTTTTCTGAGGCTTCATGCCTTCCAACACATGCCACATGGGGCTGGCCCCATGCAGACGGCAGGGAGGGCGAGCCTCCAAGGAAGGGCAAGACGCAGGCTTGGGTCCTCAGCCTCCCGGCGGCCTCTGCACCCTGGGAGACCCCAGCTGCACCCCTCCTGTCCCCGGTGACCATGTCCTGAGGGATCGCGCTGAGCCCACCAGCTCCCTCTAGAGGCCAGAGCGTGAACTGCAAGGACCGTGTACTGACACCTGCCAGACGCAGGTGCAGGTGGGAACTGGTACCCCCAACGCCGGCGCCACCATGGCGAGTGCTGTGGCCTGCGATGGGCACGGTCCCCATACCCTGTGGCTCCAGCTGGCACGGGCACACAGACGCCCGCTGGAATAAGTCCTCGCTGTATCTGCAGCCCGCGCTGGTTCCGGGCTCACCCCGTCTCTGCTTTCCCCGTCTGGGCCGCTAGGCGCTCCGTGTGAAGTGGTCGCATCTCAGGCTGCCCTGGGTGGACCTGGACTGGCTCCTCGACATCTCCTGCCAGATCACCGAGCTCGACCTCTCCGCCAACTGCCTGGCTTCGCTGCCCTCCGTCATCCCCTGGGGACTCATTAACCTGCGGAAGCTCAACCTCTCGGACAACCAGCTGGGGGAGCTGCCCGGCGTGCAGTCCTCGGACGAGATCATCTGCTCCAGGTGAGTCTCGGGCGCCCCCTGCGGCTGCCACTGTCCCCTGCACGTCTTCGCTGTTTGTTTGTTTGTTTGGTTTTTATTTTTTATTTTTTTGAGAGGTTTTCACTATAGGGCGCGTGCGCTCGCCAGACAGAGAGAGACAGAGAGACAGAAAGCGAGAAATCACCCCTCAGGGAGGATGGCCACGCCGCAATCCCTTCTCCTCCATTCTCCTCTCGGGATCTTGGGCCCGCATGCACACGCGCCCGGCGTGAGTTCTAAGCCACCGGGTCCGGGACACGAACTGCGGTCAACTACATGGGAGTCCAGCGATATAGCCATTACGCTAACTGCTGGTCCCCTCTCTCTGTCTTTCTGGTGAATGCACGCACCCTATTGCAAAAACCTCTCAAAGAAAAATATTCTGAGTTAAATGAGAGAAGGAAGCTCTGCTGGTCGTTAGGCAAGCTCTCAAGAACAAGATCTATGCCCTCTTTCCGGGTAAACACAGAAAGTTCTGGAGAGACATTTGACCCAGGTTACACAGCTCACCTGTGGCCATGCAGAACTGGGGTGCTCACGCAGATCCCCGAAATGCCCATGTTGGTCCAGCACAGAGGCCGAGGGTAACCAAGCTTCCCCAGCTGGTAGAAACAGTGGAGCCCCGAAGTACCAGCTTATTCCACTCCCTGGAGATCGGGAAGGGCCTCAGAGTAGGGGTTAACTCCAGAGGACTCTGCCGGCAGTGGGGGGCATGGGCAGCCCTGTCTGCTTTTTTCGGAAGTGGGGAGAGTCCTGAGCTTTTCCATGGAGGTTGCATGAAAAAGGACTGAATTACTTCATTTCGGAAGCTTGCATATCTGCAGGGCTTCACTCCCTGAAGCAGCAGCAGCTCCCAACTTTTTGTCACCCACCTCCCCCCACCAACCCAGGAAGGATGGCCACACCACAATCCCTTCTTCTCCATTCTCCTCTTGGGATTTTGAGCACACATGCGATGCACACATACACAGGGTGAGTTTCGAGGCACCGGACCCAGGACTCAAACCATGGTCGGCCACGTAGGAGTCCAACGCCTTAATCACTGTGCCACCTGCTGGCTCCACGCACAACTATTTTCAATACACACTTTAACCTTCTGCAGGGAAAAGAAACACACACACACACACACACACACACACACTGGTTGTTTATACAGACACGAACACAAATGGTATGTCCCCTCTTTTTCCTGATCTCGGATTTCTTCTCCCCTAACTCCAGGCTCCTTGAAATCGACATTTCCTGCAACAGATTGATCCATCTCCCACCTGGGTTCTTACACCTCTCAAAGCTTCAGAAACTGACAGCTTCCAAGAATTGCTTAGAGAAATTGTTCGAAGAAGACAACGGTATGTCTCGTCGTCGGTGACCTGACATCCTTTTATTTTTTTTTCTTAATAGCGATGTTTGTATCCACTTGTCCTTTGTCCTCTGTCCTAGCCACCAACTGGATCGGATTGCGGAAGCTCCAGGAACTGGATCTCGGTGACAATAAGTTGACCGAACTACCTGCCACGTTCCTCCACTCCTTCAAGTCACTCAGTGGTCTGAACGTCTCCAAAAACCACTTGAAGGCGTTTCCAGAGCCCTGGGCGTGCCCTTTGGTTAGTGTCATTCGGAAACTCACGGGAGCGATGGTCTCCTCCATTGGATCGGATTGCGGAAGCTCCAGGAACTGGATCTCGGTGACAATAAGTTGACCGAACTACCTGCCACGTTCCTCCACTCCTTCAAGTCACTCAGTGGTCTGAACGTCTCCAAAAACCACTTGAAGGCGTTTCCAGAGCCCTGGGCGTGCCCTTTGGTTAGTGTCATTCGGAAACTCACGGGAGCGATGGTCTCCTCCATGTGAGCCTCGGGACATCAGCTCGCTCTGGCCTCTCAGCAGCCATGCTGGGCAGGGGGGTCTTTGTTCCCACGTTGCAGAAGAGCCTCTGCGTGTGGCAAGGATGAGTGTCCCAGGCAGGCGACACCCACGGTGCCCTGGCATGGAAGTTCTACCAAAATTGGAGATTTAGTTCTTATTTTTTTTGGGGGGGGGGAGGTTTTTGCTATAGAGCGTGTGTGCTCGCCAGACAGACAGAGAGAGACAGAGAGACAGAAAGCGAGAAATCACCCCCCAGGGGGATGGCCATGCCGCAATCCCTTCTCCTCCATTCTCCTCTCAGGATCTTGGGCACGCACGCACACGTGCCCAGTGTGAGTTTAAGCCACCGGGTCCGGGACTCAAACCGCAGATGAATACATGGGAGTCCAGCAACATAGCCATTACGCTAACTGCTGGTCCCTCGTCCCATGATTTCCAAGGACAATGCACCGGAGGTTCTGGAATGAAGGAAAAGGACCATGAGGCTCTGTCTCTCCCGGAAACTATCCCTGCCCTTCCCTGCAGCAGGGGCAGGAGAATGAGAAGTAGCCTTTCAATTCACACTGAATCGTGTTTATTACACGCCCTTATTGTAATCATCTTATTTTTTTTAATTGTATAATCATTTTTATTTTCTAACTATAGGGCTTGTGTACTCACCAGAGGGAGAGAGAGAGAGAGGGAGAGAGAGAGAGAGAGAGGGAAAGGGAGAAAGCAAGCCATCAGGTCCAGGATTCAAACCGTGGTCAACCACGTGAGAGTCCAGCACCCTAACCACCATGCCACCTGCTGGCCCCCTGTAATGGTCTTATTTTGACATCAAATTTGAAACAGCCTTGTAGGCATCACTATGTTTATTTTACTTATTTATTTCTAGAGGTTTTTGCCTTAGGGCATGTGTGCTTGCTGGAGAGAGACAGAGACAGAGACAATGAGAAGAAAGGGGGATGACCATGCCACAATCTCACGATCCCTTCTCCATTCTCCTCCCAGGATCTTGGGCATGCACGCATACGTGCCCGGCGTGAATTTTAAGCCACCAGGTCTGAGACTTGAACCATGGTCAGCCAATGTGGGAGTCCAGGGACATAACCATTATACCATCTACAGACCTTGGCATCAGGGGATTTAAAGAGCTAGCTAATCTTATTCTTTTTCTCTTCCATGTCTTAGAAATATTGCAAAGCATCGAAAAATGCCCTGGAATCTCTGCCAGACAAGATGGCTGTCTTTTGGAAAAATCACCTTAAAGAGGTGGATTTTTCAGAAAATGCACTAAAAGAAGTTCCTGTGGGACTTTTTCAGCTCGATGTAAGTCTAATAACGTCTGATTGCTCTTTTTCGTTTGCTCTTGTGAGAAAATCGCTCCAGGTGGTAATGAAAACTCATTGCTTTCCTTGAGCATCTGAGACAAATAAGGGAAAAAAAAAAAAACGTGAAGGAAAAGTTCAGCTGTCAAAAACTCAGAAAATGCACTAAAAGAAGTTCCTGTGGGACTTTTTCAGCTCGATGTAAGTCTAATAACGTCTGATTGCTCTTTTTCGTTTGCTCTTGTGAGAAAATCGCTCCAGGTGGTAATGAAAACTCATTGCTTTCCTTGAGCATCTGAGACAAATAAGGGAAAAAAAAAAAAACGTGAAGGAAAAGTTCAGCTGTCAAAAACACACACATGGACCAGCAGTTGGCGTAATGGTTGCATTGCTGGACTCCCATGTAGTCGACCGCGGTTCGACTCCCAGACCCGGTGGCTTAAACTCACACTAAGCGTGCGTGTGTGCCCAAGATCCCGAAAGGAGAATGGAGGAGAAGTGATTATGGTGTGGCCATCTCCCCTGGGGGGTGATTTCTCACTTTCTGTCTCTCTGTCTCTCTCTGCCTTTCTGGCAAGTGCATGCGCCCTATAGCAAAAACCTTCCCCCCTCACACACACACACACACACACACACACACACACACACACACACGGGTGAAGACCAGCTGATAGCATAATGGTTACGTCACTGGTCTTCCATATAGCTGACCACCGTTTGATTCCTGGACCCAGATGCTCAGAACTCACACATGCGTGTGTGCGTGCATGCCCAAAACCCCAAGAAGAGAATGGAGGAGAAGAGATTGTGGCGTGGTCATGAGGGGTGATTTCTCATTTTCTGTCTCTGTCTTTCTTTCCAATAAGCAAATGCACCCTATAGCAAAAATCTCTCAAAAAGAAAAGATAGAAAAGAATATTTTTGACTGGCCAGCCAATTTGCAGACGTTGTTATAGCAGAAGGAAGGTGCTTTGTGGCTTACATCCATCTGTAGAAAAGCATAGAGGGGCCAGAGATGGCATAGCGGTTACATCGCTGGACTCCCACATGGCCAACCATGGTTCAAGTCCCAGACCCGGTGGCTTGAAAATCATGCAGGGCACGTGTGCGTGTGCACCCAAGATCTCAAGAGGAGAATGGAGGAGAAGAGATTGCAATGTGGCCATCCCTCTTGGGGGTGATTTCTTGCCTTTCTTTTCACTGTGTCTGTCTCTGTTTTCCTTTCTCTCCCCCCAATGAGCACACGTGTCCTAAGACATAAACCTCTAGGAAAAAAAAAAAGAAAAGTAAAAAAGAAAAACATAGATCAGGTTAATATTTAGCTGGGGTGCAATCAAGTGATTAATCTTTGGGACAGGAGTTTCGGTCTCAGCTCAGGGGGACAGTCGAACGATCTGTCTTCGAGACAAGAGTTTCCGTGGGGCAGACGGTTCCTCATTGTCTCAGCTCCAGCTCGGCCATTGGTCTCCCTGGAGTTCCTGTGAGAAACCTCAGACAACGAGAATCAGGCTGAGAAACAGTTTTTGACTTTTAACAAGACGGAGTCGGTCTGGCTAAGCGCGCCCCAGTCACATGGTGATGTCATCAAGACCAGTTCAGGTCCCCATAAAAATAAAGCCCTTTATGAGCCCTAGGGTGGGGCCCAGTCCTCTTCAGGGACTGGTTTCCACAACTGCAAGGAGACTGAGGGCCGAGGGTGGGCTGTGAGTGAGGGGTGCCCAGGCGTATTCTGTTGTCCCTGAGGTGAGCTGGAGGGACAACATGGGGCCCCGTGCTGACCCTTGGTATCACTGAGCCCCTGCCCCTGTCCCTGAGACCTGGACCAGCCCAAGAGGTCACTTGGAGGGCCTGCAGAACCCAGGATGACCACCAGAGGGCAGCAATGTGCACTCAGAGTCACAGGCACCTCCTGGTGGTGACTCTGGGTCCTCCACACCCTCCAAGTTGCCCCTGCTCCCCACGTAATCATGCTTCTTAAAATGCCTAACACAGGGCCAGCAGATGGCATAATGGTTACATCGCTGGCCTCCCACATAGTCGACTGTGGTTCACGTCCCGGACCCGGCAGCTTTAAAACTCACATCGGGTGCAGGTGCGTACATGCCCAAAATCCCGAGAGGAGAATGGAGGAGAAGGGATTGTGGTGTGGCCATTCTCCCTGGGGGGGGGGGGGGGGTATTTCCGTTTCCGTTTCTCTCTAGTGACCTCATACGTCCTATATCTCTAAAAAAAAAAAAACAGCTGGCATGGTGGCTGGGGTGCTGGACTCTCACATGGTTGATCATAGTTCAAGTCCCAGACCTTGTGGCTTGAAAAATCACACCAGGCACATGTGCATACAGGCCCAAAATCGCAGGAGGAGTGTGGAGAAGGGATGGCCATGTGGCATTCACCCCTTGGGGAGGTGATTTCTCACTTTCCCTCTCACTGTAACTCTCTGTCTCTCTAATGAGTGTACAGGCCCAATAGCAAAAACTTAGGACAAAAAAATAAGAAGAATGCTTAACACTGGGCCCAATCCGGTGGAGTAATTAAGGCAGCTGGCTCCCACATGGCCGACTACACGGTTCAATTCCCAGACTAGTTTAACACTAAGAAATGCTTTAGTACTTCTTTCATTCTAGAAAAATTGCCTCTCATTTATTTATTTATTTATTTATTTATTTTGAAAGATTTTTACTACAGGGCACGTGTACTTGCAAAAGAGACAGAGAGACACCCCCCGGGGGATGACCATGCCACAAGCCCTTCTCCTCTATTCTCCTCCTGGAATTTTGGGCATGCACACACATGCATTCAGTATGTGTTTCAAGGTACTGGGTCCAGGCTTTGAACCACAGTCAGCCACATGGGAGTCCAGCAAGTTAACCACTAAGCCCCCTGCTGGCCCCACCTCTTATAATGTTGAGGGAAGAGCTTTGATAGTTGAATTGTTCCAGCTTCTCTGTTTGATGTAATTCTGTGAGTTTTAAAAGACTATTGAGCCTGGGACCAGCAGGTGGCGTGGTGGTTAAGGTACTGGACTCTCACATGGCTGACCATGGTTTGAGTCCTGGACCTGGCAGCTTGCTTTCTCATTTCTTTCTCTCTCTGGTGGGTACACATGCCCTGTAACAATTTTTAAAAATAAATAAATAGTAGTAATAATAATAAATAAAAATAAATAAATACTTTTTTCTTTCTTTTTTTTTTTTAAAGAGAGATTTTTGCTATAGGGCATGTGCGCTCACCAGAGAGACAGAAAACAAGAAATCACCCCCCAGGGGGAATGGCCACACCACAATCCCTTCTCCTCCATTCTCCTCCTGGGATCTTGTGCCCACCATGAGTTTTAATCCACCAGGCTTGAATCACAGTCGACTACGTGGGAGTCTAGTGGCATAACCATTACTCCATCTGCTGGTCCCAATAAATAATTCTTTAAAAAGAGAGAGAGAGAGAAAGAGTATTAAGCCTCCCCCACTGCCGAGTCTGTGTCCAGGTGAGTGGACATAATCCTTAGGCCAGAGACCTGGCTGGCTTTTTCCAGCACGCTCTTCTCTTTCTGTGTGTGACACCATCTTGGCCTGTCTCCTCCCTCTCTCTTTCAGGACCTCATGTTCTTGAAGTTACAGGGAAACCAGCTGGTGGCCCTTCCCCCCCAAGAGAAGTGGACCTGCAAGCAACTGAAGACCCTGGATCTCTCTAGAAATCAACTTGGCAAGTAAGCAGGTGGCCTCTCTACCCCTGGCAAGTGTTACGACCCACTGCCGAGCACACCCTGGGACTGGCAGCCCCATGCCCTTGCTAAAGCTGCCATGGCAGGCAGGGGGCTGAGACCAGGCGTCCCCAGCCCCCAGGTCACAAGTCGGTGAGCTGTTAGGAACTGGGATGCACAGCAAGAGGTGAGCGGCAGGCAAGTGAGTGAAGCTTACTCTGTATTTACAGCCACTCCCCATCTATCGCATTACCACCTGAGCTCCACCTCCTGTCAGCTCAGCGGGGACATTAAATTCTCATAGGAGTGTGAACTGTGCATGTGAGGGAGTCTAGATTATGCACCTCTAATGAGATTCCAAAGCCGGATGATCTGAGGTGGAGCTGAGGTAGTGATGCTAGCACTGGGGAGTGGCTGCAAACACTGATTAACATTAGCAGAGAGGTCTGACTGCACCGAGATCGTAATAAACCAACTTCTTGTATTGAAACCCTGTGAGTGAGTCACAAGTGACAAGTAAGCTACATCTGGTGGCAGGCGTTAACAGTGGCAAGTGAGTTGATGGACATCTGGTGATGGAGTCTAAGTCAGAATCCACTCCCCACTCGATCTGTGGAAAAACTGTCTTCCACGAAACCCATCTCTAGTGCTGAAAGGATTAGAGACCACTGGCTTAGACACCAGTAAGAATTGGCTCATGGTTCCAGGAGCTGGGCATCCAAGATCAAGATGTGACCAGGGTTGAGTCCTTTTAAATCCATAAGGGACTTCTCCGATGTCCCATAGACTCTCTCTGTGTGTGACTGAGTCCGACTTGCCCTCCTATATAAAGAAGTTCTCATCCTGGGCTAATGCCCACCCTAAGGACCTTGTATTAACTCAGCCACCTCTTTAGAAATCCTGTCTCCAAATACAGTCACATTCTGAGGTGTGGGAGCTTTGAACGTCAACATATGAATAGGGGCGAGCACGGTTCAGCCTTTAATTGTGTCTTTCCACCTCTAATTATTTAAAGGCTGTTGGAGAGCCTTGTCTGACACTTCAGTCTAAACTGTAATATTTGGAGAGGTTTTCACTTATAGGGCACATGCGCACTCAAGAAAGACAGAGAGAGAGACACAGAGAGACAGAAAGCGAGAAATCACCCCGCAGGGTGATTTCTGCCATAAAGGGCAGACACTCAGTACAAATTGATGGGGATATACAATGTGTATCTTTTAAAGTCTGGCTCACTTTGCTCAACATTACATTTTCTATTTTTACCCATTTTTTGTTGAATAATTGATCTCATTGTTTCTTACAGCTGACTAATATTCTATAGTGTGTGTATGCGTGTGTATATATGTGTGTGTGTGTGTGCATGTGTGTGGGGGTGTATGCCACAGTTTTTCAACCCAGTCACCAGCTTTTGGACACATAGGTTGCTTCCATGTTTTAACAATTATAAATAATGCTGCAATAAAAGTGGATGTGCAGACATCCTTCCAATTAAATATTTTCTTAGCCTTTGGGTAGCTACCAAGAAGTGGGAGTGCTATGTCATATGGAAGGCAGGTCATTTTTTTTTTCCCCAGAATGCTCCTGAATGTTTGCGGTTACATGTAAGCCACAGGGGCCCAGAAACTTGCAGAATTTACTTCCCT